GCAACTCTCGTGACATGGGTATGGCAAAGGTATTGCAACTCTCGTGACAAGGGTATGGCAAAAGTATTGCAAGGTGACAAGGATATGGCAAAGGTATTGCAACCCTCGTGAAAAAGATATGGCAAAAGTATTGCAGCTATCATGACAAGGGTATGGCAAAAGTATTGCAACTATCGTGACAAGGGTATGGCAAATGTATTGCAACTCTCGTGACAATGATATGGCAAAGGTATTGCAACTCTCGTGACAAGGGTATAGCAAAAGTATTGCAACTCTCGTGACAACGGTATGGCAAAGGTATTGCAACTCTCGTGACAAGGGTAGGGAAAAAGTATTGCAACTCTCGTGACAAAGGTATGGCAAAAGTATTGCAACTCTCGTGACAAGGGTATGGCAAAGGTATTGGAACTCTCGTGACCAGGGTATGGCAAAGGTATTGGAACTCTCGTGACAAGGGTAGGGAAAAAGTATTGCAACTCTCGTGACAAAGGTATGGCAAAAGTATTGCAACTCTCGTGACAAGGGTATGGCAAAGGTATTGGAACTCTCGTGACCAGGGTATGGCAAAGGTATTGGAACTCTCGTGACAAGGGTAGGGAAAAAGTATTGCAACTCTCGTGACAAAGGTATGGCAAAAGTATTGCAACTCTCGTGACAAGGGTATGGCAAAAGTATTGCAACTCTCGTGACCAAGGTATGGCAAAGGTATTGGAACTCTCGTGACAAGGGTATGGCAAAGGTATTGCAACGCTCGTGACAAGGGTATGGCAAGTGTACTGTAACTCCCCTGACAACGGTATGGCAAGGATACTGTAACTCTCTTAATAACGGTATGGCAAGGGTACTATAACTCTCGTGACAACGGTATGGCAAGGGTTCTGCAACTCTCATGACAACGGTATGGCAAGGGTACTGTAACTCTCGTGACAACGGTATGGCAAGGGTTCTGCAACTCTCGTGACAACGGTATGGCAAGGGTACTGTAACTCTCGTGACAAGGGTATGGCAAAGGTTTTGCAACTCTCGGGACAATACAATAACTCTTGCTATTACATCATCATGTATTCAATGATTTCCCCCAGAATCCACGAAGTAGTAAAACATTTATTCGCAATGATTTTATGTATGAAGCTCGTGTTTTGTAAGAAAATAGAAGTAACGAGGAGATTACAAAGAGGCTGCCTGCAGATGAAAACGGAAAGAAAGGTGAGAAATTGCCACTTTAAACGGTTTTAATTCAGAACATATATCAGCCAGAATAGCTGTTCCAATAAATAGCAACACGCCCTCTTAACGAAATACATGTGCACACTCTTCCTCTGTATTCTTGGTGAATACGAACACATGCCCGATAATAATTGGAATATCTATTTAATCGATTTCAATTCGTGTTCTGCTAAGATTGAAATTCGGCAAATATCTTAAGCCTTTCTGAGAGAATTCTCCGTAGAGTTGCTTCCGGGATGTCAGATGTTCAATGGAATCGATTAAGCAGTCACTTCCTCCAAGCCAAATGCAGTTTGTCTGCATAATATTGCAATTTATACGATTTATTCCATTAGAGAACTACTAAGGTGACAATTGTTAATTTCACAACAGATCCCTACAAATTACGTGATATGGATTCTATACAACACCTACGGGCTACGAGAATAAAAACCATTAGCAATAAAATGGTTTATTCCCGCGTGGTTTACGTTTGTTCACTCCTACATCCACCAATCATGTATCATTTCATCGTTGACTTATATTCATCCACCTAGGCATATTTCCGTCTCAACCGGCATTATTATAAATACCGAGATATTTATGTATTGGCAGTTGAGGTATATAATTATTGACGGCTGAGGTCTATATTTATTGACCACTGGGGTATATATTTATTGACTGCTGAGATAGATATTTATTTACTGCTAGGTCTATAATATTGAACGCTGGGGTATATATTTATTGACTGCTGTGGTATATATTTATTGACTATTGGGGTACATATTTACCGACTGTTGAGCTCTATATGTATTGACTGCTGAGGTATACATTTATTGACTACATTGGTACATATTTATCGAATTCTGCGGTATATATCTATTGACTGCTGAAGTCTAGATTTATTGACCGCTGGGGTATATATTTATTGACTGCTGTAGTATAAATTTATTGAATCCTGTGGTATATATCTGTTGACTGCTGAGGTCTATAAATATTGTCTGCTGAAGTATATATATGTTGACTGCTGAGGTACATATTTACCGTCAGGATGCCAGTTGGTAAGTTAGAATGGGGTGTGGGATGTGGATTGGTAGGAAGCCAGTTGGTAAGCCAGAATGCCGTGCAGTCTGTTGACTAAACAGAACGATAAAGACTACCCGTGTAAGACAAGGTAAAATTCATTCGTTTGTTTGAAAAATAAAAGAAAAAGAACATTCAGGAATATAATAAAAAAAAATCGCAATGCACCATATGCACATCAATGCGAATTTTCATAATTACCGATTACAATTGAATTATTAAAGAAAAACATAATTTTCTATATATTTTGTTTCATTTCATTTGGTTTGGATTATGAGTATGTTCCTGAAATAACAAGAATACAATCACAAAATATGTAGTGTGTTCAACAACAAAGTGTGAACATTGATTTCAATGTATATAGTTTATTATTGGTAAAAAAATACTAAAAATAATAAAATTTAACAATGTCGTAAACGTGAGTTTTTTTTTTATCGTAGTGTTATTGGTAGGAAATCAGTTGGTAAGTCAGAAAGTACCGTGATATTCAGAAATAATCTAAGATGATCTCTGGAAATATTTCATTTGCCGCGATATCCCGAATTCATTCCACTTCCAATAATGTATCTGTAATCTTTGGATCCCGTTATGTTTACGCATTTTCTGTCGGTAAATATACAATTTTACAAAAAAAGATGTATATTTGCATTTGATTTCTTTCACTGGTAGATGGGATGGGATGTTAGGGGTCGACTTGTAGGACAAAATAGAACGACGACACCTCCACCATTGTCTCTTTTCGAAAACGGTATTTCTCTTTGAATATAACCACTCGAAAGAATGTACGCCCTCTATGCTTGATATTACAATATGTGAAATGAAGTACGTTTTATTTTTCTTGCAAGACAACTGAAACTTACTGTTATTGTTGAGGGCGCCTGCCATGGTTTCAAGCAATAGCCTCTTGAACCGTTGGCAAGGATAAGCATACATGGTTTCAAACTACACCTCCTCAAACCGCTACTGAAGATATTCACACATGGTTTCTATATCTTCTCGCTATTTACGAGCATAACTTTAGAAAACTAAAATCTCTTTCTCTCATAGAAACTAGTCTGGCTTACCCCCTCTATTGGCAAGTTCGTTGGTACGTACTCGTGTACCTCTCCCAATATTAATATTCATACAGCCTGTGATTCACATTACTGACCTTTCGGTGTGTTATCTTACCCCGGTTACATACCACAGTAACATACTTAAAGGGTGGTGGTCGTCACGCTGCGCATGTGCGACATTTGTGTTGATAAACATTGATTTTCCCACAATCCAATGCGCTCTTCTAATGGAAATCACAAGTATGAGGTTTGACCCGGGCGCGACTTGCACTAATTACCGCCGGTGACTTCTTTGATACCTTCCAATCACCTAAAAATACCTAATTAAAGCTTAGTAACGTCTCAGTTTGTACTCGTTGATCCTTTAATAATTCATATAATTACCTTAAAAATGCAAAGTCAATCAAAAGCTTTCCGATGTTTAGAACGTCTAATCCAAGTACTGAAAATCTTTATTTGGTAAAAAAAAATCATTTTGCATTCATTCGGGTTCATTGAGTCAAGTTGCCTGATCGTAGTTGGTTACTGCGCCCTCAGTGACTGTCTCACTAAAACGAAAACACCACACATCGTCGGTGAGAGAGCGCAGTTACTAACGTCTCTCCAATCCTGCAAAATTGGCCCGGCCCTAGTATTGGGTGTTTGGCACCGGCACTAGTAGTTTTAATAATATTAATATTAATAATAATATTAATAATAAAAATATTGTTGTCTTCGTTTCAACACATTGACGAAATTCCGCTCTGAAGTTGTTGTAAAAACCACAATTCAGCATGAAATTCATTCTCGATTTGGTTGCCCCGTTCAATGTATATGCTTGTTTCAATTTTAAGATTTTGAGCAATAATGCTCAATTTAGTTAGAACAGCTCTATGTACAATGACGTGTTTAGCCTCGGCACTAGTATGGCATGTTTTGGCCTCGGCACTAGTATGGCATGTTTTGGCCTCGGCACTAGTATGGCGTGTTTTGGGCTCGACTCGAGTATGGCGTGTTTTGGTCTTGGCACAAGTATGGCATGTTTTGGCCTCGGCACTAGTATGGCGTGTTTTGGCCTCGGCACAAGTATGGCATGTTTTGGCCTCGACTCGAGTATGGCGTGTTTTGGCCTCGGCACGAGTATGGCGTGTTTTCCGAGGCAGCCTGAGATAGAAATATTTCTGTTTGTTGGATTATTTTTTGTGCTAGATTTATGTATTTGCACTCTCAGGTTTGTTTAAAAAATTCATCATTTTACATAATGTAAAACAGTGATAACGAATGTGTGTGTAATGCAGTAGGAGATAATTTGCTTCACTTGTGTTGGTACTTTGCCTCGCTGAGTTTTCAACCATTTTTCCCAGTAGTATTACATTGTAAAAATGTAAAACATCGATTGCAAAATTTTCTAGATTTTGGAGCTGTGTGTTCCTTAATTTCTTTCTTTATTATTTGATAACTGTTTAAACTGTGTTGTAATAACAAAACATCTTCCAATCGTTGTTTCCTCTTTTTCATTTCGTGTAATATGAGGTGATACCATCGCAAATATACAGATCGGTGGCACGAATCTATTAAATTACGTCTCGGAAAAACTTCGGACTATCAAATTATTACTTCGGGTGCCTTCGGGAAAAATCTCATCTGCGCATGTCACGTGGATATTCCCCGCCAAAAAACAAAATGGTTGACGGGCGATCGTGAATGCGGAAGTGCTTGCCAAAAGTGATCAAATTTGATAGAACTGCATCGACCAACTTGACAAAATGGTGCTACAGAACAGTGGTAGATACAAGAGTGATCGAAATGATCCGTCAGGAAAGGGAGGTACATCGAAGTATAAGTAAGTCCATTACAAATAAACAATACTTGGACGAACGCTTCCGTCGTTCGTGCCGAAACATGCAGTGAGAGTTGACACCTCAAAATTATCATCTTACAATTTAATTCTGGTAAAAATAGAAGTTCACACTGATTACTGAATCCATAAAAAACTTGACAAATAAGTAGACTTGTTGACGACGAGGGGTTGTATGTACTTCTCATTGGAATGAGCGGGGGGAGGGTGTGGTGGACACAATAGTGACAAAAAATAAACAGTTAGAATTTTATCGGAAACAAGTGCCAAGAGAGGTAGTTGGATACAAAATAAAGCTCTGTGATTGGTCAACAACAAATACACAGTGTTTCCTATCAAATTCAAACATAGTGTGAAGTTTAAGATTGAATCCTGGATTGTACAAGGGATATATTGATTAATATACCGATAAAGTAATCAATAATAACAAATTCCATATATTTTCTACATGAACACTGATTACTAAACCGGCTAAATTGCGAGGAGACACTTGACATTATGCAACAAGGAGATTGATGAGAATTGCGTACTTTTTATTCAAATTTAAATTTTAAATGGTGTGGATGTGGAACGTCAGGTTGTTGAGTGTGAAGAATTAGTCAAAAACAGTTTATTGAATTAATATGTGAACTAAGAAAATAAGTAAAACATTAATTAAAGATCATTCCTTCAAAAAACAATATTGTGAAATATAATCTGAATGATTCAGTGTTTCACCCATGTCAAGTATCATGACAAATTTGCATGACAATACATCTAATGTGCATAATGTTATTTACATAATAATTAGTTTCCCCAACAAACATTCAGTGTGGTCGCCGAACCCTCATTAACATATTTAAATGAGCCGTGGTAATTTGAACTTGCGACCCGTTAGTGACCAGGGTTCTCCCCAGGGCTTTTTAGCGCCGAGGTCCGCGGCGCTATACCTGTGAATCTCGGCGCTTCACTTGGGACCTCGGCGCTATGTGTTCCCACCTCGGCGCTTGATTTCATATTTGACATGCCAATATCAGATGTGAAAAAGCTTTGTT